TATTTGACCACTGTGGCCAATATCTGCCATACAATAAACAATAAATGTGTTTTTAATTCTAAAAATCCATAGGTAATGTTACAAATACAAGCATAGGACTTGTGTACTGTATTATGGGTGTCTGGGTAGGATAAGTCATTACTGTCTTTGATAATTGAGGACCTTTAATGTTGACCGATAGTCTAGTTAAATAAACTGCGGCTAATATTAAAAAACACGTATCAGACCACATTTGAATATATGTCATTTTCTTGATTTGCTGTTTTTTTTTATTAATTATCTATAAAATCTTAAGAAAATTACATTGATTTTCATAGAAGTTTTATAAAACTCTCCTTTTCTATATGAAAAGCACAACGTTTTATCAGATTTATCGAATTTTTTTTCATATTGGCATACAAACGGCGATATTTTAACAGCAACAAATCAACAGGTTGAAGTCCATCAGTGTTTTGTCAACGACAACGTATCACAAAATATTTTTTAGCTTATCTACTTGATGCAACTATCATACGTATCTCGACAAAAGTTAAATCTATTGACCAGTGCTGCACCAATCGCATCATCTCGGGTCTTTCCGTCGAAGATAGGAAAAACAACCTCGAATGTATTAACATCTCCAGATTTTAAAAATTTATACAGGATGGAGTCGCTTCCTATTTATTAAAGCATTGGAAAGACAGAGTTAGAAGTCACTCGTGTAGTATATTTTAGGTAATATCTTTACATTCAATAAAGTTGAGCTCCAAACTCTACAGACAAGAGGTCTCCTTACATTTATTTCAAAGTTTATGAAAAGGGAAGTTGTCATGAACGCCTACGTAACATATTCCGCTCGTCGGAAAGGCCCGAGAAGTTTCGATTGGTGCTGCACATGACATCCATACCAAAAATCTTGGTCAAGGTCAACTTGTAGTCAAAACTAATGATATAATACCCACTCTATGATATAATGCTGTTTTAGTGGATCACTTTGCATCATTAATCAACAACCATTTTCACTATTAATAATACAACTTAGGTCATATATGAATAACCATGACAGTCACTGATGATATTCCCTTGGTGATAAAAATGAGACTACAAACATCAAAAATGGATGTAGTCATCCACAAATGATTAAAATACCAATTCCTATTATCAAAATTTAAAGATATATGTCAGCTAGTGAGTGGAATTCATCAGGATCACACATACATGTATGTCTTCTTCCTTTAGTTCTGCATTTCATATATAAAAAACCACTTTCACGTCTTAAATATTTTATCACAAAAATAATCAAAACTTGACAAGAGGGTAAACCAACGATTCCTAAATAAAGTTCGATCACTTTGTCATAAATATTCGCAACAGTGCGATCTTCACGCTTCAGAGTTATCAAAATTAATGTCTTATTTCAAAATAAAGACTAATTATTATCTTTAAAATGCAGAGAGATATCAGTGCGTTCTCGTTTCTTTTGGTAGACATTAGAAGGTGGTGGTAAGGACGATATGGGCTGATTGTAATCAGTGTCCCTCACCCACAGAGTCCCAGTGTCATTTCTTGGTATCTTTTTCAAATCGTCGTCCATTTGTATACCTATGACAGACAGGGCCCGACCTTCTGGAAACCTGGAATACACAAAAATAAATATGTGGATAAAAGATGCATAAAACAAGTAAAATATTTTTTCAAAACAAAATCACCTGCGCACTTAAAGAGAAATTTATATATGGAATATCAGTTAAATTGCAAGCTCTTTGAAATTCATAATCTTAATATCTTCACAACATTACAGTATACAGTCAAAGTAAGCCAAAAATTGTCTCAATTTAATTGCACTTATCAACACTACCTGGTAATTTTCTGAAAATAATTTCATCACGACTAACCTTTTCTTTTTGATGAAAACAATGACAATTACAATTACAGCTACTGCTACGGTAGCAAAACCTGTAGCACCAGCGATGGCAGGGATGTTGACGTCAGGACCTACAATATAGTCAAGTATGTAGCTGAACATTATAGTAATCTTTTATGTAATTTCTTTAAGTAATGCAAGTTGTACAGATCTGATGTATAAACTTTCGTTGTCGTGTGTTTTTGTCAGTTTGTCTGTCCTGTCGGTAAGAGCATACCCCCCCCCCCTTTAAAAAGACATAAACGGTTCACAAAATTGAAAAAAATGCAAAGATTTGAGTAGGATAAACTAAGACGCACATTCTAGCTAATGTACCATAAATAAGAATGTAAAGCTAATTCTATCATACCTGATTTGGAGGAGGATCCAGGCTCGCTTATCTGAAATATATTTTACTCTCAACTACAAATTAAATATATTTAGAATTAATCTAAAACACATGTATTCAAATACATGTAATTTTAAATCCTTGTTTGCTAAAATATCAAAAATAAATGAGACTTAAATTTCACTTTCTTTCCCATACCACTTTCTGGCATATTAGAGTCTTCATGTCACACGAGTATCTCTGACTGTCATACACCAATAAAGTCACATGATCACTGAATGTTATACCATCATAACTAAGTGAGATATTCCATCCATGTACATCATCCATTACTGAGCGACGTCGACGTCGTGAAGACTCGGAAACGGTAGGCAACGTCACAGTGATCAGGTTGAAGTGACGGAAAGTTGCATTTGTGGTAACAGAGTAAAAATCAGAGGACTCCATTTCTCCTATCTTAGAAATATTTTTTTCTAGTTTAAATTGTATTATTAACCATTGTAAATAAGAAATAAATATATAGAGTAAGAATTAAATATCCTACCTCAAAATGAAACAATTTTGCGATGACATTTTCAGAGTAAAATTTGCCAACAATATTTGTTTTTTGACATGATCGTTGTCTTGTGTCGCAAATTCCATTGGATGGCAAAGAAAAGACGGTAGGTGGCACTGACACACGCACAGAACAATCACTTCCAATGAATCCATCATGACAGAAACACATGGCTTTTTAAAATATAAATAATACAAAATTCAAAAATCAGCTATAGAGCAATGTAAAGACAATGATTCTATCGAGTCCAAGCACGACTTTTATTTTCGGCGGATACCTTGATATAGAATAAAAGGGGTATGGTTATTTATATTTTAAACGTTAAACTAAATTATGTTGCATTTACAATTTATTGAATAGACTTTAAATAAACTAAGGGTAATAAATTAAGGCCCTTAATGTACCATCTTTGCATTCTCCATTTCCAGAACAGTTGGCGGGGCATAGTTGAGCTGTGATCAGTTGGATGATTGCCACTTCAGAGGAAGAGTTAGAGGTGGAGTTTGTATAAAACACTTCCCGTTTCTTGGCCTCTGTGAGACACGCCCCTTTCAGTGTGTCCAGCGTATCCTCTACCCATGTTGTATTACCAGACATCTGAAATCATTTTCAGCTTTCTTCAAGTATCTTATGATACTATGACCATATTTTGTACGATTTGTAATTTGAAATCATTCTGTAAAAACTCACATAGAATATAAATATTTGTTTACTGATGCAACAAACTGAGTTGTCTCGAAGATATATGTATATGGAAAAGGGCATGCTATGCAGTCGGTAATTTTGAAAATTAGTTATGTCAAATATACGTTACCAGAAATGAAAGAGAACAAAAGAATAAAAACCTTGATATCCTCCACACAACTGTCTATATAGGACTCTGAAGAGATGTTGACAAGTACATTACATGTCTCCACAGCGGTGTCAAAAGTGAACGCGTCTTTACAGTACTTCATGGCTGATGAGGCGTTCCATCCATTGATCCAGTTACTTACCTATTTTACATATATCTATCTATCTATCTATCTATCTATCTATATATATATATATATATATATATATATATATATATATATATATATATATATATATATATATATATATATATATATATATATAATTTATTCCAAGCTGAATTGACTGATTGGCTCAAACTTGATCACATGATCAAGTATATAACAACATAACGACTTGTGTTACTATTCAAAGATTCTTAAACGCATATCGACTTGATGTTTCTAAAATTTGAAACAATCTTCTGTAAACAACAAAATTGTTGACTTCACAATAGCTAATAAAGTGTATGACTTGAAGTTTCTGGAAAAAAGAATATATACTATACTTCAACTCCTATTTATAACTGTGATGTTCTGTAATCATTGGTAAGATGTAACAATGCCTTGAATCTACTTTATATTAAAACATATTAGACATGTTTTTCATAAATCGATACAAAACAATAAACAAATGTAGCTTTTTAAATGAGTAAATTCCCTAAGTTACTATATCAGAAGAAAGGAATCACAATCATATCTAACAGCTTAATTTTAAATGTTTCCATTATTTTCAAATTTTGTCTTTGTGAATCTCTTAAAAAATAATATAACAAATGTAGCCCTTTCATTCGGTCAATCCATAGATATATCGACTTCACAGAAAAGCATATCGACATCGCACTTCATGCTCGGTTGATATGCTTTTCTGTGAAGTCGATATTTCAATGGATCGACCTCATGAAAGTGCTATATTTGTAAAATATACAAGGAAAAAAAAAAGGCATGACTGATTTTAAACTTTTTTAGGTGTACAATAATAAAAGATAACAGATATAGGTTAAAGTTCAATATTCGCAACATATTTTTATGGACAGATGATACAAACTTTTTTCAAAAATTTTGAAAATAACAACTGAAGTCATAGTTGAATAAGTAAAATGAATAAGTTTAATCGTATAGAATTTAATTTTCCTTCAAAGTTTCAAAACAAAGGGATATAAAGTGACAAAATCTGCAGATTAATAAGGATGGTTGCAGAAAAGTAGAACTTTAAATACCATAGGAAGTTTACCATTTCTTACTAATTTAGAAATTTATTTACATCATTTACAAAATAGGTCAAAAATATATACCTATCCAGACTTCCTTTTTTTGTTTGCATCATCTGTCCTTAAATAAGTTTATATGTTTAGTAACATATTTATAATCATGACATACATTGAAAACAGCTGTTTCATCGAAGTCGCTGGTATAGGTAAGCACAGTAGAATCCCCAACATCATCCGATTCAACTGAACGCTTTCGTCTACGTGAGGTAGTGCCACAGGAAGAGGTATCCATCACCATGGAAACCTGACTTCCACACACAGAACTAGGTGTTGTCTGGTTACAGTGGGCCTGACTCTGAGACTCAAAGTCTGGATTGTAAGGATCCAGTGGCTCATCGGACGGGCACGTGCAATAATTCTCTTTGTTGCTCTGAGATGAATAGCTGTGGTACATGTAGAAATTGGTATCATGATTTGCAAAATTATAATCAAAATAATCTGAACATTAAAAAGATAATAAAATGAAGGATGGAACGTATCTTGATTCATAAACTTAAATATTAACTTACGAAAAGGACTGTCGTAAAATTTTGGGATTTTCTACAAACAAACTTTTACCAGGAGAGTCCCTTGGTATTCTGCAGAAAAAAGAAAATAGTTATATATTTATATATACTAAGATATAAAGATAGTTTACATGTCATCATGTTGATAAACTATTGGTGAAATTTAAAAAAAAGAAATAGATTAACTTTCATGTAACTGAATTACAAACCTCCACGATTCTGCAAAGGAATTTATATCTGTAGGAATTTGTCCATTTCTAGGAATAAAGTCATCTGTGGCATTACCATTAACAAGTCCACACAAACCCTCCGTTTCCCCCAAATCTGAAATAGAGGCTCTGATCCGAATACTACCCATCCAATTACTCCACCGGGAAATTGTGAATGACACTTCCGTACCGCTAGGAAGTGTAACCTATAATCAAACCATGTAATTTAATCATTTTCGCGAACTAATAGGTAAGAAGTCATGCATCTTCGCTAGCCAATGGTTTTCGGTCCGCTCTGCTCCCCATAAGGGGAACAGAGCGGACCGAAAACCCTTGGCTAGCGAAGATGGAAATCATGAAGAAAAGAAAAAAGAAATTGATTGGAGACAAGAAAAAAAGTTTTAAAAACTTGCTTCTCGTAATAAAAATTCAAAATTGCTGGAAGGTGTTCCAGTATTTAAAAAAAATTAAAATAATAATAATAATAATAAAAAAATAATAATAAAACTGTCTAAAGTCATATTTGACTAACCCCCGACAGAAACAAATGATGAGAAAGATGATGAAAACGACATCGATATCAAGATGATGAAAACGACATCATCGAGTTGGTTTAAACCAATTGTATACAAAATGAAAGATAAAATGTACATCTACATGTATATATAAAAATTTGGACGTAATCTTTTTATGATTTTTTGTTTAAATTTAATTTGGACATTTTATTCTTATTTAGTGAGTTAATGGTGTGTAAATCACACATACGTAGACATATTTCACTTTGAAAAACGAAGCTTGTATAATACAATGTAAGAGAAAATCTAAAGAAACAAAGTATACATTTTGTGGGAGGAACATTATGTAATCCATTAATTACCTTGTAATAAGGCCAATATTTTAGAATACGTAGATCGTCATCATTGCAAATTTCGGTTTTTTCCTCTGGAATTGATAAAGTTCTGGTCAGTGTTGTAGAGACTTGTGCACATGTGCGAACAGAAAAGAGGCTCCCGCCACTTCTAATAGCGATACCGCAGTTACACGTAGCGCGCCTCAAGATACAGGTGGAATACAAAGCGTGCACCTTAAATAATAATAAACAGAATATATTTACAGAATTTTCATGCATTTCGTTAAATTGCTAATAGAGGCAAAATGATAGACAATGATAGAGTTGTTTTCTTTAATGTGAATTTACATACGGTGTAGGGCAAAATCTTGTGTCTGTACAACAAGAACTCCCCGGCCCGTTGGTTGGAGAAGCGCATTCCGTCAAATGTTCTTTGATGGGGATCCGTGTAAGAAGCACAGTACTTACCAGATACCAATACGTCTTTGTCTTTTACAATAAACTTAAGAATAAAATGTAACATAATGTATTTCTTGAAAATAAAAGACATTTTCACAGCTAAGGAAATTATCCTTATAGACATGACTAAAAGAAAATTGAGGAACTTGCTGAAACCCAATGCATAAAACGGTACTCAAAGGAAAGTATAAAGTAACAGTGGATTCTCACGGCGGGGAAAAATGAAAATTGTAATGTGTACTTTTGAAGATAAAAAAAAAAGAAAAAAGAATAAAAAAAACCAAATGTTGAATTAAACCTACTATAATGTCTGGAATCTTTACTCCGTTCCATATTCCAGTGGAATCCATTGGATTTCTGGTAGAAGCAATCCTCAAGGTAGATTTTCTCTCCCTGAAATTGACCATTCCGTCAATATAACCAGTGACACTGATAGATGCCGTTTTGTCTTTATAACCAAATGTAACTCCACAAGGGTTATCCTTGAAGGCCACTCCATTACTAGTAAGACCATTCACACACTTTCCCTCCCCAGGGGTCCAGATGTAGAATTGGAAATTACAGTGGGAGGCTTTCATTGCGTCACTCAGAGTAGATGGACAACTGAATGGCACTGTAGCCTCCAGACTTATCTGAATTGTCTCCCCCTCAAACACAAAATACTGGAGCTGACTTGACTGTAAAATTGAATATTTTTGTTTAATAAAATAAGTATTGTTTTTGCAAACCATAGTGAATAATTACAATGAAAAGAACATTACTGTTACTGTACTTTAATGCCTGCAAAATATGGGTAACTTTCAGTAAAATCTCCCTGGACCACAGACGTTGAACTGTTAGCTTTAACAGCACAAGATACCTACAAAGAGGAAATGATTCAAGACATTCAGCAGCAGATTTCTTTCTACTTTTTACCAGTACTGGAGCAGCACATGGCGACACACTTGGAAGCTAAACGTGACATTTCTAATTATTTGTACCTGAAAACTCAGAGTGAAGTTGTTCACCCAGTGCTTTGTCCGTAGGGCTGTATCATTGATGTTACTGTAACTGATTCCTGTGAATTTGGCGTTATCGAGGAGCGTTCCGTCGATATACCACTGGACGTCGTACACAACGTTTCCAGGAATTTGTTGGAATAGACATTTAAAGACCGCCTCCATTGTTTTCTTATCGTCTGTTTCCTCGTGAAAACTCCCCACCTCGGGACACACATTCATAATGTCTTCGTTTTCAATGAAAATACAATACGCAAGTGAGTTAACGCTAGATATAGACGTTTCTATGCAAATGAGCTAAAATAAGCATAAGATGTATATGTTTTATACAGAGAAAGTTTAAATTTATTTTCTCATACATACTTAGTACCCACAACATTCTTTGTAAAAATCATGCAAATAGGTACGTAGGTGATATATTAGGATTCTCAGAATTTGATGATTTTCCACACATAGTTTTCTTTTGCCCTATGAACCATGTATGCAAAAAGAAAAATGTTTTGATTCACGGTTACCATGGAAACATGGGGAAAGAAATTTCCCTAGCAACCAGTCAATTTTCAGCTTCGATGCACCAAAAAAATCTCTTATATTTCAGGCTCAAATTAAATGTAAATACTAAAAGAATTTCTTTTTCATTGCTGTTATTCTCAAGATAGTGATCTTAACAGTTTTCACAATCAAAAATTTAGAAATAAGATTTAAATATATATCTGTGATAGATGCGGGAATATATGCACGTTTTTCCTTTTTTGCTGACTCAGCATTTTCTTGATTTTTGGAATTATTCAATGCCTAATTACTCCAGTGATGGACCTCATACAGACATCCTATGTATATAACATAAAAGCAGAGGATTTTGTCTTTTAGAATTTGAATTCAGAAGCGTATAATTTTTAAATATTCCCATCCGTTGCCTAGCAACAAAAATGGATGTTTTGATGAATTAAAAAAAAAAAGAAAAATGTAAAATGGTCATAAATCACACAACTTGTTATCTTTGAATACTCAAAACAAATTTTACAATGAATTAAAATTTTTGAGACCTCTCCGCAAACTATGGAATTATGTCATGTTATGACGTCATTGCTCTTCACCACTTGCGCGTCCGCGCAAGGGAATGTCCTATTTGATTGATTGTATGTAGTTTTACGTCCCATTCAAGAGTTTTTCACTCATATAGAGACGTCACCATATACCGGTGAAAATTTTGACCTTTACTCGGCACTCAGGGCCATTGAGCAATGGAATCTTTATCGTGCCAACGTCTGCCGTGACACGGGGCCTCGGTTTTTAAGGTCTTATCCGAAGGACCCTCAACTTTCACTTCAAAGTGCCGAACGCATGGCGAAGGAACAGTTGCTACCCATTTTTTATCGACCTAGGTCAGTCGCGGCCGAGATTCGAACTCAGGACCTCCCGATCACGGAGAGAGCGCTCTACCGACTGAGCTACCGTGAACGGTTATCCTATTTGATTTTAAATAAATAATGTAATAATAAGTAGAAAATTCTAAAAATTTATAAAATTTTTGCATAAATCCTATGCACTTTCTCATTTGATAATAAAAAATTGAGGAAACCTATACCGGACTATAAATTTTTACACTGTTTCCGCTGAAAACTGTATGAATAGTAACTAACAATTGCACTGTCGACATTTGTGCAGCAATATCATAAATCCTTGGAATATCTTGCTTTTATTTATACCTTGTTTTTGTAAAACAAAATAAGGTATGCTCTTGCGCCGAAGCTATTTTGTTGATGTTCCTTATCAACTTGTGTAGTAGAGAACGATGACGTCATAATATGATGTCATAATGTGAACTGGCTATCACATGTGGATACTAAGTTTGTATTAGAAAACCAGTTTTCACTTTTTCTGTACGACAAGAATAGCCTTTATGCGTTTTAATTAGTAAATTTGCATAGAAACGTCTATACTTAGCCTTAACTCACTTGCGTACTTAAGTAGTCAGAATAATTTTGAGATAATGTGGAGTATGTTTTCGAAAGAGACCATTGACTGTGAAAATGAGGATTAAACAAATGAAAAAGAAAATTAAAAAAAATGAAAAAGAAAATAAAAAAAAACATAAATGATTTAGGAAATAAGAAATAATGTTTTTGATTGAATAAACAGAGGTTTTGAGTTTTCTGATTCGTGATAATGTAACATGATATGTGTGATTATACGTAAACAGTGATCCGTAATACAGAACTCACCTGCGGCTTCAGAGTCTTCTGATTTCTTGCATGACCCCTGATACGGAGCTATTCAAATAAATGAAATTGTTATACTTTAATATTTATATATATATATATATAGAGAGAGAGAGAGAGAGAGAGAGAGAGAGAGAACATTAAAAATGACCAACGACACGAACAATAGAAGTTGTCAAATTTTCGGGACGCCTTGTCCCTTCCTCAGGGCAAAGAAAAAAAGTTAAGAAGTCATAAAAACAAAGGAAATAGAAAAAAAGAAACGGCTAGCACTACTACTCAACTACCAAACACTATTTATTTACAATGTTACATGTTTAATTTGAAGTTTATAATCAGTTGTAAAGAAAGAAATCCGGACCGCTTTGAAATACGTCCGGTTTCTCGGGTGTACTCTGGTGAAGTGCGATTTGACATAATTAAACGAATTAATAATCGCTAATTAACTACGGCCAAGCAGTAAATCGTACACTGTCTTATTCTCTCAAAATAGCGTAACTTTACATGATAAAAAGAAACCAAAGAAAGATAATTTAGATGTATTATACATGTCATTTGGATATGTTTTAGGACTGTTTATCGGATAAAAGAAATCCTATGCACTTTACTCATTACAAGGAGGTGTTCTAGACGACTGATGTCACTCTGTCTTTCTTGGGATATTCACAAGTTAGGACAATTTGAGAGTGATATCATGTCCTTAGAATCATCCCTCACTGATAGCATGTCCCAAGCTAACCTTGATGAAGCCCATAATATTATTGCCACCTACAATATGGCCCTAACCAAAGATCTCAACAAGACTCAAAAGAGGAAATTTCTCCGAGACAGTGTTCCACAGACCAGAAACAACCGGTCAGAGGTCAGAGTTAACCAATCATGTAAACCCCACTATAGATGCTTCAAGCGCAAAAAGACAATCACGGGGGACGGACCCTTACAAACTCCTGACATCTGTCAAGTGCTCAATAAATCTAGTGTTCCTCTCTCCGAATTGGAGACCTCACTTCTTTCTAAGGGGCTGAATTTCTGTCCCTCGCCACATGAGGTCGACGAAAACAAGTCAGAGAGGACCCGAGCATTCTTTCGGAGACGTCGCCTGAAGGAGCACTTCTGTAGAAATGACTCCGATGATGATTCATATGACTCTTCCCAGCCACAATTGCACGACCTAGAGAAACATAAACTCTATCGGCCAAAAGCAACTGGGAACCTGCATCAGGCAAATGTGGAGCCCTTGAGTCGTGCATTGACGCCGTTGAGTCAGACATTGAGAAACTCCTTTCCATGCCAGACAAGACCCCCGACAATTTAAGTAAGGAAGAGATATTCGCCTTACAATCATTAAAGAATCGGGATGACATCGTGATCAAGAAAGCAGACAAAGGCTCTACAGTAGTAGTACTTGACAAAGAGACGTATATAGCGGAGGTCCATAGACAACTTTCAGACGAACGTTTCTATAAAAAAAACTTGACTCTGAGCCTACTAAAGAATTCTCCACCGCTATCACCAAAACTCTCGATAAAATGTTTGAAAATAACGAGATTGGTATAAATGTCTATGAGACACTCAATCCTATTGACTGTAGACCAGAACAATTTTACCTGCTTCCTAAGATACATAAAGAAGGCATGCCAGGTCGCCCTATAGTTAGTGCAATCAGACACCCCACGGAGAAAATTTCTGAATACATTGATTTGCATCTCCGTCCACATGCAGAAAATTTGCCATCCCATCTCAAGGACACCACAGACTATATCAACAAGACGCCCTCGACTGGTCTTCCAGATCATACCCTTCTCGTGACTATGGACGTTACATTTTTGTACACCAACATTTCGCACGATGAGGGTATCGAGGCCTGTAGAGAAGTCTGATACAGTAGGTCAATACAAACTCCTTCCACTGAGTCCCTTACCAAGCTCCTTGAACATGTTCTCAAATGTAACAATTTCATGTTTAATGGAGAACATTACCTGCAGGTTAATGGCACTGCTATGGGTACGAGAATGGCCCCATCTTATGCCAATATTTTCATGGGCAGGCTTGAACGCAACTTGTTACTTCAAGCACCATTTAGGCCCCTTAGCTGGTTGAGTTTCATTGACGATATAGAGATGAAGTGGGTATAATGCCGCGAGGGCCTCGAAGCATTCATTTCGTTTGCCAACACCTTCCATCAGTCTATCAAATTTACTGTAGACGTATCTAATTCCAAAAACATATTCTTAAATACTACATCTACCCTGATTGATGGCGAAATCGAGATTAGTCTCCACACGAAACCCACCGGTTCCTACCTATATCTCATGCCGACTAGCTGTCATCCCCCACACACATTCAAGGGTGTGCCTAAGGGTCTGCCTACCAGAATTTGTCGCATCTGTTCATCCCCTGCCTTATATCAGGATCAGAGCAGTCTCCTAAAGTCCCATTTATGCAATAGAGGCTACAAAGCCCACAATGTACAAACTGCTATTGATGAGATGGCAGGACACGACAGACAAAACCTGTTACTCTACAAGGAGAAAGAAAATAACAGCAGGGTCCCTCTGGTAACCACATACCATCCCATCCTTAGGAACCTCAGCGGTATTTATAAAAAGAACCTGCCGAATCTCCACTCTAACAAAAGAACCTCCAATGGCTGCCTACAGGCGCCTGAGGAACTTAAAGGACATGGTAGTTAGAACCAGACTGGACAATCCATTACCTAACGGAGGCTTTAGAGCTTGATCTGACAGAAGATGTCTTCTCTGTAAGCACAGCTCTGACACAGACAGCTTTAAAAGCTCCGTTACAGGCCGCAGCTACAGAATTCTAGGGAATTTGTCTTGTCAAACAGAAAACTGCATATATCTCATCAGTGTAAAGTTTGTTCCAAACAGTACGTTGGGGAAACGGGAGATCTCCACAGGAGAATCAATAATCACTGTTCGACCATTAAGACCAAGAAACTCAATGAACCCGTTGGGGAACATTTTAACCTTGAAGGTCACAAATGGGAGGACATGACACTTGTGGTTATTGACCATAATCCAAATTGGACCGATGCTCAGAGAAAAAGCAAGAAAAAGTTCTGGATGCACAGACTGAAGTCATTCCGCCCTAATTGTATCAACAAACTAAATGATTTCACCAGGATGAACGTGAACTAGACCCAATTCCTGATTGTAACAAATTTATTCTCTCTATATAGTGTTAACTTTACCGTTAATTCGTGTTACCAACTCTGGAACAACCCACACACAGATTTTTTGCTTACATTTTTTGTTTATTATTTCTTTTATCCGATAAACAGTCCTAAAACATTTCCAAATGACATGTATAATACATCTAAATTATCTTTCTTTGGTTTCTTTTTATCATGTAAAGTTACGCTACTTTGAGAGAATAAGGCAGTGTACGATTTACTGCTTGGCCGTAGTTAATTAGCGATAATTCATTCGTTCAATTATGTCAAATCGCATTTCACCAGGGTGCACCCGAGAGACCGGACGTATTTCATAGCGGTCCGGATTTCTTTCTTTACAACTGATTATAAACTTCAAATTAAAAATGTAACATTGTAAATAAATAGTTTTTGGTAGTTTAGTAGTAGTGCTAGCCGTTTCTTTTTTTCTATTTCCTTTGTTTTTATGACTTCTTAACTTTTTTCTTTGTCCTGAGGAAGGGACAGGGCGTCCCGAAAATTTGACAATTTCTATTGTTCGTGTCGCTGGTCATTTTTAGTACTTTATATAAATTTCAATCCTTGACCTTGTATCTATATACTAGTAGATCCGACACTTAGGATATACAGTGTTGTTGGTTTTTGTCTATCTATCTATCTATCTATCTATCTATCTATCTATCTATCTATCTATCTATCTATCTATCTATCTACATGTATATATATGCGTGTGTGTGTGTATGTGTGTGTGTGTCATTGTATGCATAATTGATGGAACAAGCCTTGCAGATGGCTTACTAAGTGTTGTTTATGGACTGATTAACGGCAATGGGTTTTTTTTATAAGAAATAAAGGAAATAATATTCAGTGGATGTAAATATTTAAAAATTGACCTGGTCCCGAGAACATGAAGGAAGTTTTAGACTTAAGTCAGAATTGTACACTGAGAATTTTATTATTAATTCTAAATATGGATTGCAAAAGTATAACCGAACATCATCTGACTTTTGTAAAAATTATCTGTCAAAATTTCAAGGTCTGGTTCGTATTGTAACAAGAAAAGAAAACTCAATGCCATTGAGTCATTGTATAAGGGCTCAAAATGGACATTTCACTGGTTTATATTTTAAGTCTTAATTTCAAATCTTATATGCCATGTCACACGGATCCATATTCTTATAGTGCAGTGACAAGGCTAGAAAAAGACGCTTATTTTACGAGTTTAATGCACCGACAACCCTACGGCTGAAAGTTATATTTTATAAAAGAGACATCCCTTCTCATGCATTTTCGCCCGATCGTAGAGTTTTCTTGAGTCAAACTTTTTTTTAATTGCGAATAAAAGTGAAAAGGGGGTGGGGTAGTATATTTTGTCTGCCGATATTATTCTTCACAAGTTAACATTTGAATTACATAAAAAAGTAAATCTTTGTACCTGATAGGATACTTATAGCTATCTAAGTTAATATTGTCAAATTAAATATGAATATTATTGTTTGTTTTGTTTGTTTTTTAAGAAATTGTGTGTTTCAATTAAATACATTCCACGTAGTTACATAAAGTAATAAATTACGAACATTTAGCTAAATATTTTAAAGATAATTATTCAAATTATGTTTTACGATCAAATTAGACCTAAGGATATTTTTTTATTCTCCTTGATCTGAAATTTTAAACGTTTTCTGTAACCGGAAACGAATTATAGAATCCAGGCGCGTAGCCAGAATGGAAAAGAAGTGTACTCAGAGAACGGCAGGGCGTCTGGGGCAGCCTTGAACCCCCCCCCTCCAGTGGGGTCCAGGACGAAACCCTGTGGGGGCCCAGGGGCGAAGCCCCCGGAAGCTTCTGAGTTTTACCATATATTTCATTCATTTTC